CTGGTAGTCTGAATCTCAATTTAAGGTTCCAAAGTTTATTGTTCTTAGCCACCCTATTAATTCCACTGGCAAAGGCATCATTGAAACTCGATCAATTTTAACACAATTTGGTGCTCCAAACTTGTTTTTGGGCTTCCAAGGTTTACTAATTTTGAGCCAATTTTTCTTATTGCTTAAGCATCATGAAATTTCATCACTTGGGAGTTGGGGCACAGTACAATACGGAAAATTTTATTTTGTGCCTCACACAACTTACACTAGTTGTGTGAAGCCTCTTTTTTGTCTCACAACTGTGTGGGTCCCAGAATTTTGTGGACCCAGATGTGTAAGATATGGGTCCACAAATATGTGAGATAAAAAGAAGCCTCATACAACTAGTGTAAGTTGTGTGAGACACAAAATAAAATCACTCGTACAATACCATCTTACTCTTCTTCGTGCCACACATAACGGTCTCTGAACTTGAGTTCCCCCTTGTAACCATTGCCTTGCGATAACATATTACATATCTCAATTGGTCTTAAAGTGGTCATTGTACAAATACTATTATGCTTGTAAGCAGCAATAGAGTTTTTAAGAAATAAATGTCGGAATACACAAGACAGCACATCATCAGCAAACAACATGGCTGGAAGTGGCCATTACAAATACTGTTAAGCTTGTAGGTAGCAAAGAAGTTTTAAGAAACAAATGTTTGAATACGCAAGACAGAACATCATCAGCAAACAAAATGGCTGGAAACTAGCCTTTGTTTGTCAGTTAATCACTAGAGAGACAAAATGAAGAAAGCAGTAACCGATCGAGGCTTCTATTCTAGGTGCTTTTTGAAGGGGTAGCGTGGGAAAAAGGATTCTGGAAACTAAAAACAAATGTAAATGACTTCGATCATTAACTAATGGTGTAAAAACTTTATTAACAAGGGTAAAACTAAAACAAAATCACCAAATCAAGCACTTGCATACTAATTATGATAATGGTATATACACTCTTTACAGCCTCTCTACCCTCTGGGGGGTAGGGCATAAGGTTAACGTACACTCTACCGTCCCTAGACCCCACTAATGGAATTTTACTAGTGGAATTTTACTGGCTTGTGTTGTTGTTGTTGTGGTGGTGGTATATACACTCTTGTTATCAAGTCCTCAACCCCAAATTTTGGTTCGATAAAGACTGCTAATTTCTTAACCTGTGGGGACAGACAATAATCCAAATAATCTTGGTAGGTGAATTAACTTAATCACATCTAAAAGAAAATCAAACATATTTATGACAGTCCCAACAACCCACTTGATCAAATCAAGAAATCTTGATCAATCTCATAAACCAGCACCATATTCATCAATTTTCAAGAACCTTAGCACAATCAGCTAAAGTGGCAAACATAATTAACAAACTTTAAACAACAAAATTAAACCTGGGAGATGGGATTTGAAAACGAGGATGTTACCTGGATGTCTGCTGACTTGTTTGAAGCTGAGAGAGAGGTAGAGAAGAGATCTGGATCAGTAAGTAGATCTTTGCAACTGTATTTGTAACTATTTTTTCCTCTAAATTAATCAGTGCACCCCACGTGCCTTCTTTTTAAGAATCAGACTTTATGTGCTACAGTATATAATATTGGGAAATATCAGACTTTTTGGATCTCTGTCTGAGTTTGAGCACAATCTTTTCAATAATTTATATTAAAGTTAAAAAGTAAATGACTTGTCACCTTGAGGTTTTGGTACAAAAATCAAAGTTGTACTTATATACTATTTTAATGTGATAAAAATAAATATTCGTGACTTTATTGTTATCGAAAAAAGTTTAATAATTATTCGTGAAATTAGAAAAGCAAATATCTTATTTTAAATAATTAGCCAAGAGGTTTATGCATGCACTTCATGTCTTTCTTATATTATGGGTTCTTAACGATTAAATTAAGTACTGCTAACCTAAGTCTGCACGCCAAAACTTTTCTCTCTTTCTCTAATAAAATAAAATAGTAAGGTTGATCCAACCTATACAAGAGCATCAGTTGGTTAACCTTAGATATAAAATGATAGAAACCCGAAAATATGTTTATAAATTTATCAATAAATTTATCAATAATATATACTATAAAAGATTGAGATGAAAAAGAATTAAAAAAAAAAAACGGGG